CTCCTCCTCCTCCTCCTCCTCTTCCTCTTCTTCTTCTTCTTCTTCTTCTTCTTCTTCTTCTTCTTCTTCTTCTTCTTCTTCTTCTTCTTCTTCTTTCTTCTTTTCCATTCTTGGGGCTGGAACTCTGGGCCTGGGCACAGTCCCTGAGCTTCTTTTGTTCAAGACTAGAGCTACGCCAATTGAGGGACAGCGCCATTTCCGGCCTTTTCTGGAATTAATTGGAGATGAGAGCCCCAGAGTTTCCTCCTCAGGCTGGCTTGAAAACAAGAACCTCAGGTGTCAGCGTCCTGAGGCGCTAGAATTACACGAGTGAACCACCAGCACATGACTTTTTAAAATTTATTTATCTAACCCCAACATTTATTTCTCAATATAGGCACAGGAAGATAAGGTGTGATTTAAATATTTAAAGTTCAAATGGCTTAGAAATAGCTCAGTAGTAAAGCGTGTGAGTTCAGGCCCCACAATCGACAAAAAAAAAATCAATAGTCATATAAAATCCAATATGTATCTGAAAACTCAGTCTTGAAATGTCAACATGGTCAGGTAGTTGAAAATAAGTGGAGATACCGGGAATCGAACCCGGGACCTCATACGTGCAAAGCATGGGCTCTACCACTGAGCTACATCCCCTTCGAGGGTACAGTCCTATCTCTGCCTCTAATTAACCACACAAAGCCGGAAGTGGCGCTGTAGGCTAGCCTCTGGTAACCCAAGCCTAGCTGTTCTGGAGTCTTACATTTGAGGACCAAGGTTCAAAACCACCCAGGCAGGAAAGCCCATCAGACGTTTATTTCCAATTAACCACTAAAAAATGGCGTCTGTGAGACTCTTTTTTTTTCCCTCGTTATTTCTCCCCGCCTCCCCCCTCCCCCCCCCGCCTCCCACCCCCACTGTCCGGGCCTCAGCACAGTCCCTGAGCCCCTTTTGCTCAAAACTAGCGCTCTACCACTTGACCCACAGCTCCAATTCCAGCGTTTCTGAGATTAATTGGCGGTAAAGGTGCGGAAGACTTCCTGCCCAGGATGGCTAGGAACCAGGATCTTCAGATCTCAGCCTCCTGAGGTAGCTAGGATTACTGGCGTGAGCCACGAGCAGCACACGGCTTTTTATTTTTCTAATTTTCTAACCCTGACATTTATTTGTCAATATAAGAACAGGAAGATAAGGTGTGATTTAGATATTTAAAATTAAATGGCTTAGAAATAGCTGTCGTCTTTTAAACCCTAATGTGTGTCTCTGAAAAGATAAATCTTAAAATGTAGACAGAGGCAAGTAGTCGATAATAAGAAACTGGGATGCTGGGAATCGAACCCAGGACCTCATGCGTGTAAAGCATTCGCTCTACCACTGAGCTACATTCCCATCCCGGCAGGACACTTGTCTCTATCTCTAATTAATCTTAGAAACCGGAAGTGGAGCTATAGATTGGCAGTTTACTGGTCGTGCTTGTAATCCTAGTTACTCAGGATTCTTAGATGTGAGGATCGAGGTTCGAAACCAGCCCGGGCAGGAAAGCCCATGAGATGCTTATCTCCATTAACCACTAAAAAACCAGCTTCTGTGAGACATTTCTTTCCTCCTCCTCCTCCTCCTCCTCCTCCTCCTCCTCCTC